ATATATATATCCTATATATCAGATTTTTCTAACCCTTTAAAGGGGAGGAGAGGCCCTCTTTTTATGGAGAAACCAAGGGGGCAAAGCTTCTCTTAGAAGCTTTGAGCAAAGAGGCCAAGCTTCTCTTAGAAGCTTGGAGCAAAAGGGCCAAGCTTCTTGGAGAAGCTAGGCAAAGGGGTTAAGAGATTCAAGCTTCTTCAAGAAGCTAAAAAAGGATCAAGTTTCTTGGAGAAGCTAAAAAGGGTCAAAAGGTTCAAGCCTCTTGGAGAAGCTAAAAAATGATCAAGCTTCTTGGAGAAGCTAAAAAGGGGTCAAGCTTCTTGGAGAAGCTAAAAAGGGTCAAAAGGTTCAAGCTTCTTGGAGAAGCTAAAAAATGATCAAGCTTCTTGGAGAAGCTAAAAAGGGGTCAAGCTTCTTGGAGAAGCTAAAGAAGCTAAAAAAGGATTCAAAAGGTCAAGCTTCCTCAAGAAGCTAAAACCAAGAGTTCAAAAGGTTCAAGCTTCCTCAAGAAATTGAAACAGGGGGTTCAAAAGGTTCAAACCCCCCTCAAGAAAAGGTCTCAGCCAGAAAAAGTGGCTAATCGGCCAACAAAGTTGGCCGACCGACCACAAAATGTGCCGACCGACCATCAACAGTACCGACCGGCCATCACTAGTGGCCGATGGCAAGGAAACAAGGCCGGTGGCCTCAAGCCATGGCCGGTGAGGTGTGGGGATGGCCTACAAGCTATTTCCCACCCTCAGAAGCAAAACAATAAGTGTTTGATGTAAAACCAAACACAAAACAAACAAGTCGAGAGGTCTTGAAGCAAGGCGCATAGCCGAAACCTCCGAGAACTCAAGACGAACACGAACAGGGATGATCATCGAGTGTTCAAACAATGACGTCCAAGTCTTGAGGACGGTCAAAAATGGGGTGTCTACACCCGCCACCTATTCATTTTTGAAGATATTTATGACCTTTCTTGCCCAAATTCTATAAAAACAAAGTTGTATCTCTGTTTTGAAGGTTGAAGAATTTCTAAAAAGCTTATACACCTTCTTGAGAGTCCTTCTTCTTGTGCAAGTAACCCTTTAAGCAAGCCTACCACCTTGAACCTGTATCTATACACCATATACACCTTCACACCTTAGTCTAGGAACCTTAGTTGAGCCTTGAGCATCACAATTCAAGCTTCAGAGTGTGTTTGGACTTAGTTTGATTCACAACAAAGAGCTTATCTTTCTTGAGAGGTATAAGCTTACTGTCTCTTTTCTTGCTCTCTTTTCTATCATTTGCTATCAAATTCTTGTATTTTTGTATTGTTTTGATCTTCCTTCAAGTGTCTAAGCTTGGGGTTTGGAGAGCTACCAAATGGTAGAGAGAGTTAGCACTCTTTCTTACACCTTCACCTATAGCTCAAACCCTTGCTTTTGCACCATTTTTTTTGCTTTCTAAATTGTTTTTCAGAATTTAAAAGAGGCTAAAAATCATGCTTTGAGGTTTCAAAAGTGGAGGGGTTAGCCAACCCCCCTTGTTCTTACTTACTAGTCTTTTTTCTTTCTTTGTTGTTTAGCCTTTTTGGGCCCTTTTTATACACTTTGAGCCACTGTTTTTCACCCATTAAGGGTTGTTTAATGGTTGTCCTAGGTTGTTTAATTAGATCATGCTTTGATTAGTTTACTTTTTGTCTCACAAGTCCTTATACATAGCTTATTGCATATTGTTCTTAGCCTTTCCTTGTCTAATTTCCTTGTTTAAGAGCCTCATTTTAATAATCAACTTACCATTCATATCTTTCATTTGAGAGTTGTTTCAATCGGTTAATGGTTGTTCAAAACATGAATTAGAGATCTATGCTTAATGGCTTAATCTCTACGGAAGTTTATTGTCAACGGTATAGTCTCTTTTTCATGTTGAGAATCACTTCTCGTTTGACATATTTCTCACTTAGTGGGCGTAATCTTTAGTGGATGTAAAAATCATCTTGGACAAATGGGTTAAAGAATGGCAAAGACTAATGAATTTGGCTTAAAATGAACCAATCCACATAAAGAAAATGAATTATATTGCTTGGGCTCGGTTGGACGTTATGCCGAGTCTATTGTGTCAAGAGTCGTCACACGTCAATTCATGGTGTTTTGATGACCCTTGAAGCGTCTTCACTTCCCTCATTTTGAGTTCATCCCATGATAAAGGGAGGATGGTTGTTATTCATTGCATTTATTGATCTTTGTCCAAATTGTATCCGAAATCATCAAGATAGAGAAGTGTGAAAGGGACAAACAGAGTTCAGAACAACTCTGTCTGTACTGTTTACACTTCAAGGCACAAAACAAGATTTTGCATAAAATTAAGGCACGACCAGCCTTATTTAGGCCCGGCCAGGCTTCATTGGGAGCCAGTCGGCCATCAATGTTTGGTCAATTGTGTGTTTTGTCAAAAAACAGAGGATAGTAGCTGAAGGTGAAATGCAGCAGGCCTAGGCAGACAGAGTAGTTCTTGGACACTATGCATACAATCCTTATACATTCTTGCTTACATTAATGTTGTAAATTAATGCTCCGAGTATTGTTGTAATTAATTTATATTGTTACAATTAGTCTTGTTGTAATTAGTGTTGTAATGATTATTATTGTTTATTTGTAATTGTTATAGTTAGTTAACTTAGATAGCTAGTTTATTTCTCATTATTATCCTTGTTGTAATAGAGTAGTTAGCTAGTTAGTTAATTCTTTGCTTATTTATTCATTCGCTTTTGTAATAATTAGTTTAATTTGGACTTTCGAACTTTGATTCGCACCCTTTTATGTGAGGGCCAACATGTAATAAGCTGTATGTCTTCCAAGCCCATGTCTTTCTCCTTTTTAGTTATTTGCTTAGGATGGTTAGTATAGAACATCATTTTTAAATTAGCATTCTTATGGTTTGCATCCATTGTCTTACATGCATCCAAGGTTCGGCTAATCATACTAACCCAATATCAATGTTTAAAATTTATTGCTTGAATACGTGCTTTTATCGCATGTCTTGAATGGAATCATATGCCATACTCATAGCCGAGCCTATAAATTACATAATGTGTGCGTTGAATTAGTCATATTGCATTAGTTAGGAGCATGCATATTTTCTACTTATTTTTCTTTGTTTTGGCTCGAAATACTAGGTGAGCAATTTTGAGCTTTAGCGTCTTGCATCGAATGTTTGTGTTGCCATGCTAAGCATATTTCCATGGGGCAAGTGCTTAAATGATATACATCTTTGAATGCCTGTGGATGGAGGCTAATTGCCAAAATTAGGACAAATTGATTAATGCACATACAAACTCACATTTTCAAGTGACGAGTATCAAAAAACATTTTTTCAAATAAAACATGAAATCAAAGTGTTCCAATCTTCGCAAAAAGTCTATACTTATGTGCGTCACATAGTAATGTTAGTCTAATAAAACCAGAACAAGAGCATAT